GGAGGTAGTGAATTATACATAGTATATGTATATATGGGTTATATTATTACTTATATATAAATAATAGTATGTGTTGTGATGATGATGGTATATAGTATGTAGTGTATTGTATTAGGGTAGTGAGTGGCATGAGTAGGTGCGTAGAGGGGGGGTAGGGGTAGTAGGGGTAGTATGTTATGATGGTATAGGTAGGGTTATCATAGGAGGGAGTATATCCTACTACAACATACTAATAATATGATCATATACATATTATAAACATCAAAATGCACATATTACACTCTGATCTCCTTCTCTCTCCTCTCTTATAAGTATATATATAGTATATATAATATATCTCGTATATATATATATTATATATATATATATAGTTATATATTAATATATATATATGGGCATATGATGTTATATATAATATATTATATATATATATATGATCAGATGCTTATACTACGTATACGGGTGTGTAGTAGGTGTAGTGGGTACTTTATATTAGAGTACCTATTATAGTACCTTGGTGGGTGGATGATTTGTCGTGTGCTCTCCCCTCCTGTCCGCCTTGTGGGTGGTTGTGGTGGTGTTGTGGTGTGGTGTTGTGCTTCATATATATAGTATATTATATAGTTATGTAGTATATATTTCGTACTATATAGTAGTATGCCTTATATATGTGTGTGTGTGTGTCCTGTGTGTGTGTGTTGTGTGTGTGGTGCGTGGTGTGTAGTGTTGTGTGCGTGTGCGTGTGTTACAACACAGCAAACACACTTCCCTCTCTTTCTCCTCTCTGTCTCTCTCTCTCTCTCTCTCTCTCTCTCTCTCTTCTCTCTCCTCTCTCTCCTTCCTATTATTATCTAGGCGGTATGGGGTGCGTGAGTGGGGCGTGGCTATATATATATAAACCTTACTATAGATGCTTACCACGCACACCCCAACACACACATATACTATTACACATAGACACACATAATCATGTTATAGTCTAGTATCCTATTGTATTCGTATACGTATATATCTAATAACTATAGTATTATGTATATGATATATATATACAATATTACTAACGTATATACTTACAAATATGAATTACTGACAGTACTTAGATATATATCTACTAGTATAGATAAGGTATGTATATTAACTAATATATTATATACCATACACTATACCTAACATATACCGTACTACACTATATATATTATAATATACTATACAATATACCTGCTATAACCTCCTTATATATATGTATATATATATCCCGTATATTATATAGAGAGTAGATAGATAGATAGACTTACTCTATAATATTTATAGATAGATAGATAGATGATATGCATGTACCTTACATATACATGTATATATATATTATATATTATATAGTATTTATTACCTATTATATACTATATGCATATATATGAGCCCGTATGAGTAATAGGTTATACATATTACATATATATACTATACTACCATAATATTCCTAACCTATATAATAATACTATATGCTCTACCTCGTATCATTATGCAGCTACTATATTACTAGTCAGCTCTATATATAGTATTACTATATATACTTAGCTCTTTTAATAGATAGATAGATCAGATAGATAGACTCTGCCCTTCACTACCCCCCTTACCTACTTGATACACTTCTATATACTATCTCCCTATACTTCTCATATATTATATATTATTATATATATACATTATTTATCGTATATTATATAATATATATATTATTCCTTACCCCTATTATATTATCTATACATATATATCTACTCGTATCTATATATATTATATACTACACTATATATTATAGTTACCTTCATTATATATTTATGTAACTATGATATATATCTCGGTATATATATCTCCTCATTCTCCCATCCCTTTATACTATATTATACATGATAATATATAAAGCATTGTAATAATATTGGTATATATATATATAGTATATACTATAAATCACTTATACTTATATTATTATATATAAATATCTATATGAATAGTAGTAGATATATAATATGTATGATGTGCAGTTATTAC